GCCGAGCGCACCCGCCGCCGGCTCCCGGGCGCCGCGGTCCGAGCTTGGCCGGCGGGCTATGTTGATTGCCCCGGCGGGGCCGGCCCGCGGGATTTGCACAGCCCTGCCCACGGCCCCGGCGGGCAGCTGGGACTATGAACCAGAAAGCGCGGCGCTGCCTGGGCCACCTCTTTCTCAGCCTGGGCATGGTCTACCTCCGGATCGGGTAAGGGGCCGTCCGCTCCCCCACCCCCGCCCGCGTCCCGGCAAAGTTAGGGCAGCCGGTGGAGAGCAGGGTGCGCCGCCCAGAGGCTGCAGCAGGGCTACTGGCTTCCCGGGCCCCACAGAGAGGCCAAGTGGGGGCTGTGGGCGCACAAAGACCCCCCGTGGGCGGGCGTCCCGAAAGCGTCCTTAGCAAGCAGGGGGATTGGCCATCCCGAGGACGTGGGAGCCAGGAAGCCCCCAGCACCACAGACAGCCGGTCTCAGGGACACGCCAGCCTAAGGAACTCTGGAGAGGGCCAGCTGCTGCAAGGGGGGCAGCATCTCCGCAGTGGTGGGAGGGGGGGGGCGGGCACAAGGATAGCAGGTGCAGCAGGGTCACTGAGCCAGGGCCATGGCCTCTCCCAAGGTCCTGAAGCCTCCAGGGCCCTAGAAGAACTCAGCGCTAGGAGCGCGATCTGTCTCTCAGTCGCTCTTAAAGACAGGACAGTCCCTGGGTGACAGGAGGGACATGTCCTTACAAACCTGGACAGGTAGTCAGAGGGAGGGACATTTGCCGGCACAGCGCTGGCCGCCACCCCGAGCCCTGCCTCACCAAATCTCTGGGGACTTCAGATTCCCAGGCAGAGCCCCCAAGGGGATACCATTTCGCACCCTCAACAAACACACACAAAGGTAGAAAGACAAGTGGCCTGAGACACCAGCAGAGTCGAGCGAGCGTGGGACACCCTGGCCCTTCGAACTGGGCACCCAAGGCCGCGAATATACCAGTAGAGCGCCCCTCCCGCTGTTGGGCCCCAACATTTCTATGGACGTGGGGGCCTGGGTGGGGGGCGGAGCGGTGCTCGGGCTGGAGGTTGGGAGCCGGCAGCCTGGGGTGCGTCTTGGAGCTGCATTTGCAAGACTCCCAGGCTCCCTTTGTACTCGGGAGATAATGCCTGTGCAGCACTGAGGTTTGGGAGAGGGGCTTTCGGGCTTGGTACAGGTTTGGGCATTCTAGGACCACCTCTCGCAACCTGCTTCCCTGGTACCAGCGCACCCGCCCAGTGGAGGTCCCCCGCCCCCGCACCCCCCCACACACACACACACACACACACACACACACACACACACACACAACCTGCCTCCTTGGGAGGGGGTAGACAGATCGTGGGGCCTGTGCGGAGGCGTGTGGGACGCGTGTGGCAGGTCCTTTGTGTGTCGTCTCCCCTCCTTGCTTCCCAAGCACGCTTCCCTGGAGCTGGGATTCCACAAACCGAGGAGCCGCGGTGGCCAGCAGGTGCGCGCTTAGCAGAGGCGGCAGCCGCCGGCGTGACTGCAGGCAGAGGGGCGACCGCGGATGCAGAGCGGCTGGGGCCTGTACGATTTAAGTGTTATCGATTCGCCCTCGTCTGGGCGGTTTTTCTCCTTTTTCCCCCCTCGCGCCAATCTAAATCTTGGCCGGTGTTCTGGCGCTCCGTGTGCGAAGCGGGTCAGGCTGAGAGGCACGGACGGTGTGAGGCTGTCTCTCCCAGTTCATTAGAAGCGTTGTCAGAGGAACCCCCTGGGAGGAGAGGGAGTGGGAGAGGGAAAACCAAAAACTGTCTCCCTGGGCAGCGCATCCTGCATCTTCCCGGTGCAGCTCCTTCCTTGGCCTCTCCTTTGACTGGCTCCCCGAGTGGAAGGACAGAAAGAGCCACAGTTCTCTGGGGGAGGGGGGTTGTGCAGGGAAGTGGGAGTTGCTGGTGACTTTGGGCCAGGGATCCCTCTGTAAAATGACCATGAGAAGCCAGCCAGTTCCCCAGATACAACCAGATCCTTCCTACCTTCTCAGAATATTTAGCAGGGCATGGATGGCATCTCTATTTCATAGTTCAGGTGACTCCAGAGCTAGCACCTGATAGCAATCGGACCCAATAATAATAATAGTAATAATAATAATAATAATAATAATAAAAGCAACAGCAACTTGACTGAGTGTTTACCTTAAGCTTGGCACCTCCTAAGGGCTTTATTTAACCAATTCCATTGCCACAGCAATCCTCTACAATGAAGCTGCTTAGCAGTATTACGTTGTTTCAGCATCGAAAAGCAGAAGCCATCTGCCCAAGGATGCACAGCTAGTCTGTGGAGGGACCTGAGCTGTCAGTCGGGGCCACTGGAGTCTGCCCTCCTAGCCACATAGCTGCTGGCCTGTTGTTCTCGGAATTTTAGACCCCAATAGGTCCTCACATTTCTGGTGGCATAGGAATCTTCAGGTGCTCAGACGTAGGCTCCCGACTAATGGTCCAAGTATCTCCACCATGATGTAATCTTCCTATACCAGTCCCTTCCTCAAGCCCTTCCGATGTTAGGCGCTGTGTTAGGAGCTGAGATGAGATTGGTAGCATCAGGTCCCCGTGTCGAACCCATCGTCTGCCAGTCAAGGGCCTTCTGCCAGACCTTAAGCTCTGTGAGCCTGTTTTCACACATGTGAACTGAACTGAGCGTGGTGATGCTCCCCAGCAGGACTGCTTTGTAAAAACCACATGAAGTGATGTTTGTGGAAACAACCCTGGTGCTGCCTTTGCACATAGTAGGTGTGCCACGGAAATTCCCTGGCTCATTTGATGCCCATTTGGATGCACCCGAGTCACCTTTCTGGAGTTCTGCCTCCATTCATTCCGTTGCCAGTGAGTCAGCCGCAGGGAACCTGCCTGCTCTCAAAGAGCGTAGGTTCTAATAAGGAAGACGCATAGACAGGTGAGCACACACCTTTCACGACAACACATCTTGAAGAGCACTCGCAGAGAGCTCTGGAAAGCCGATTAAGGCCAATGTAGTTAGGAGTGATTGGATCTCCCTTTTGACCCATTTTAAAGTTGTCTCAGTATTGAGTATTTCCTGCTGGCTTTTTGACTGAGGTTTCCCCCTGTTTTGTCTGATCATTGTTATTTGTTTGCTTGCTTTCTGTTGTGTTTTGTATGAGTTTCTGTGTATTGAATCCAGGAGAGGCAGACCTATTGAGACAGAAACTGGATTGATAGTTGCCTAAGAGGATGGCCAGAAAATGGGGAGTTAACAATAATGGTATGGGAAGAAAATATTCTGAAATTGATTGTGGTGATGATTTTTAAAATCTTAATATGATTAAACCATTAAATTGTATGAGATGTGAAGTACATGCCAAAATAAAAATCAAAGCCCACATCATCATCAACAACAACAAAAATTTAGAAGACCATGAATAACCAGACATATCAAGTAAACAAAACAGGATACTGTGGTGGGACGCTATAAGGTGGTCCGAGAGGTGACGTTGAATCACATGACTAGTGACAAGAAGCCAAGAATGTGAAGATCAGGGAGTGAGAGAGCTTCAGGGAGAGCGAAGGGCAACACATAGGACCACAGCAGGAAGCAGGCTGCGGTACTGCTGCCTCAGAAAGAAGGCCGGCAGGAGGGAACGAGGATGCACCTGTACAGGAGAGAGGCTGGTATCCTCCACTTCATCTCTCCGTGTAACTGTTGCAATTCCAAGACAATGCCCCATAGCATTGCCCAGGAGCTGGCAAGAGATGTATCCTTAATCAGTGGAAGCTCTTGTTATAGCCCAAAGCGAGGTGTGACGGGTGAAGCCTTCTACTTACAAGTGTTCTTGATGGTATTCCAAGGGACACTCTGGACAAATGGCTTTCCTATATCATAAGGATACTTCTGGATTCTGTTTGGGGTTATCCTGATATTAGTAAAGGATGGGTTAGGCACTGGGCTGCTAACCCAATGATTGGTGGTTCAAGCCCACCAGCCACTTTTAAGGAAAAAGATGAGACTGCTCCCATAGACATGCACAGTCTCGCCAACCCCATATAGGGTAACTATAAGTTGAAATCAACTCCAGGGCAGTGGGTTTAGGCTTGATGTTAGTAGATGGAATCACCTGTAGGTCAAGGGGTCATGCTGGATGCCTCTCATGCTTTGATATCCTGCCCACGATTTCCCTGAGCCCCACCCTGTCCATCAGGCCAGCTCTCTCTCTACCCACCGCACAGCTCTGCACCACCGCCGACCCCCCACCTCTGCTTGCCTGGCGCGTCTCCCCAATCCAACTCTGGCCCTGTGATCTTTTTTCCACCATGGGGGAGCTAGGGAGCTCTGCTCCTTCCATGACCCTCCTTATACCCTTCTGTCCTTCCTGATGTGCCTGAGGAAATGCCAGCGTAGAGTCAGCCTGCCAACCTCCCTAGTCTGCTCACCCGACCCATCCCGCCCTCTCCTCAGGTTTGTACTGGCCCCTCGGGGTTCTTTCTGGGCTTTGGGCACCCCAAGTTTGTGCGCCTCTTAGGACGTTGCCCTTCCTAGTCCCCCTGCTCAGAATGCCCTTCCCCCGTGCTTTCCCATGATGGGCTCCTCATGCCATTCGGTTCCCCGCTCCAGTCATTTCTGCAGGGA